GGATCTGCGGGAAAAAATTTGAACACAATCAAATCACTAAGAGTTCTCAGAGTCCTCAGACCTTTGAAAACCATTAAAAGGATCCCGAAACTAAAGGTAACGGACAATAAGTTCACCCTGCCGTTCTCTTCTCATAAACGCATTCTTAGGCTGTGTTTGATTGCCTTGTGAACTCCTTGAAGAATGTCTCTAGTATTCTCATCGTGTACTTCTTATTCCAGTTCATTTTCGGAGTAATTGCAGTACAGGTAATTACTACTCCCGAATATTTCTCGAATGCTCCTGGTTACGCCTTCCAAAATTGTTTTTTTGCTCATCACTTCGGACAAAATCAGCTGTGCGTATATCAGGTTTGTAGTACAGCCTTAGGGTGGTCGATAATCCCCAACTTGAAACGCCGGTTCCTCTGAAATCGATATATACCAACTTGAATGGCGTTGGTCTGAAATCGATCATACAATTTCATCGTTCCTTCCACATTTGCTGCTACCCTTCTGGCGTCGCGGACGTGCCACGTGTGACTAACACGTTGACAACGTTGGCAGCAACACGTTGGCAAACATGCAGCAACATGTTGGCGTGGCCAAAATGTTTTAGCCAACATGTTGTGGCATGTTGCAAATGTTATTGCCACGTTGGCAACATGTTAGCCACATGTGGCAGGTCTGAGACGCAGACCAAGGGTAGCACGAGCTGTGGAGGGGACGATACATGCTTACCGCATAATCCTGTGACATATGGTGAAAAGGACCGTATTAGGTTGCTGCATAAGTTCTGTCCGATTCGGGTTTTTTGAGTTCAAAATGTCATGACTTTTTTCGAGGTTAACTTTTTCCAAGATCTTAGTTTCTTTGTGTTGACTAATTCCTTGGCCATCAGACACATATTTGGACTTGCGAAAATCCTGGTCAAGAAAGAAGCAAGAACTCAAAAACTTCACAGCGTTTTTTTTTTCAAACCTGTCTTTTTTGACATGACAGTGCTTCCTTATGAGAATTGATAGGCATCTCATCTAACAATGGATAGATAAAGAAATTTTTGCAGATTATTCTGCAACATAAAAGAGCCCATAGAATCTGCGTTGCCGAGAGATTTTTTGACCGAGCAAAAAAGAAGCCACTTTTTGACTTCGGTTTAGCATATGTGTGCGTGCCTACTTGCGGATTATAAAAATTTTACAATGAACATGAGCGCCTAAAATGAATTGATGGATGGGCCCTGCTACCTCTTGTTTCACCCTAGCATCTCCAACTTTGACTCATCGATTACTTCTATTCGCAGAAAGTTAATGCTTGTAAAACATTTATACAAAAAATCTATGTTCGGCGACAGATTTTACTAGCAAGACGTTTTCTCAATTTGAGCTTGTGCATATGCTAGTCTGTTACACCCTTATTACGTAAGCGGTGAAAGGACCTGACTTGAATTGCGCACTGTGGAGATTTTCTTTCAAGAACATACTCCTAGGGTGAGAACGTACCTCGGCCACTTGGAGATTTTAGGCTTGAAATCTCCTTACTAAGAAATTTATTGAAATTTGATATGCATTAAAAGAGCAAGAAAAGCACTTTTCAATGATACCAACAATATCGAATCAGAGATGAAATTGTCCTGAACAGCTGCTTCAAACATAAGGCAAAGAAATCGGACAGAACTTATGCAGCAGCCTAATATGATTTTTGTAGTAAATCGCACCATATGTTTTTCATGTGGTGATACATATACAGGAAAAGGGGACGCCGCCTCTCTGCTCACTCATCAAGGAGCACCTGCACGGGTTACATAATAATAATGAGAAGTAAAGTTTTTCAATGTAATGTGTAAATAACCAAAAACTCCGTTTCGTTCCTGCCCTTAGATGGAGTAAAAGTATTTGCAGACCTTCCCCGGAACTCCTCAGTAAAGAAGGAAGGTCTGTAAAACTTATTTTTAATAATAAGAAGTATATTTATTAAGGAGTGCAAAGTATGTACATGAATTTTTTAGAATACTAGCTGGCTTACCCGGCTCCGCCGTATGTTCCAAATAGAAAATTCCATTTCTTAACCGATCCGGACCAAACTTGGCATACATACACTTCGGGCCTCGGCGGGTGTCACAGTCCACTTTTCGTTATCGATCGATGTCGACTTTATCGATTTTTTGCAAAATTTGAGCTAGGGGGCTGTTTGGCACAGGGGGGTAATCGAGCATGCTGATTACGAATACATTAGTTTTCGAAACCGTGCATTACGTT